ATCTTTCGATTCTGGGCCGATCCCGACGACGGCCAGCGCCGATCCTTCGAAAACAACGTTTCACCGTTTCGATACCTGTTTCTACGTTGGACAGGTGTTCGCCTCACGGTTCGACTACACGGTTGCGAGCACCGCGAGCACATACATTTTGCTTCTTTATCGGCGTCGTTCGATACTCTGTGCAACTGTTTCGCTTGTTCACTCTCGTTTACTTTCTCTCGTTCTTCTCTTTTTCATCCATTCGAGCTGGATCGCGGAACACGCGTATACTCAGTGGAGAACGTCGCGGTGGTTACGAATGGATCTAAAACACGCGAAAATTTCACGCGAACCACGATGCACGACGGGCGTAAGGCCGGCTCGTTATCTCCATAAATTCGTTGCGAAACCGTTTGAGCTTAGGCGTGAACAGTAGCTGTCGAACGATCCGTGTAAACGGTCGCAGATACGATTCGCGGTCAGAGAACGAGTACGAGTACAATGGCAGCCATTTGACGAATAATATCGGAGATTACTGCGAAGCATGAGGGGAAATAGTGTCAGTGACTGGAAAAGTAGAAAGACAATTTGTCGACGTCGGTTACCATACCACTGAAATCGTTTCCCTAAAAAAAAAAAATCTACCTGACAAGTTGTCCAACTCTAACATTATGTCGAGCCAGTCCCAAAATAATTGTCAATATCACACGCGTTTCGTTTCTCGAACGTTGGAAATCGGCTCGCTAAGCGACGAGCTTCAACTAGCTTGTATTCGCGCCAACTATTCGCGGCCAACTTCGCTCGCAACCCTTTCGAATCGGTGCCGTTCCGACGTGTATGACCGAAAAGGGGCAAGAGAGCGGAAGAGAAATTGCCGCGGGAGAAGAAAGGGAAAAGATAGAGAGAAAGAGACGAAAAGAGAAGAAGAAGAAGAAGAAGAAAAAAAGAGTAACGAATCCGTGGAACGGGTAAAAGGGATACTGTGCGTGCCCGTAAATCTCTTGGCGCCTGTTGTTCTCGCGGTCCAGGACTCGTTGGTTCCTTGTCCGTTCCGATCCGTTCCACCGTTCCGTGAAGCGAGTAAGCCGAAATTCGCCCCTCCCCCACCATCTTCTCCGCCGTCGTCGCCGCCGCCGCCGCCGCCGCCTCCACCCCCACCCCCGTAGCGCGCGGCTCGCCGACACAAAAAAGAAGGAACACCCACAGGAAAGGGAACCGGAGGAAAAAAAGGAAGGAGACGGCGAGAACAGAAGAGCGAGAGAGAAAGATGAGAATTGATCGTATATTCGCGACGGCGGAATAAAGAGAGAGAGAAGGAGAGAGAGAGAGAGAGCAACCTCTCCTTCGGGCTACCTTGCATTCCTGTCGTTGGAAACGCGCCGTCAATTTCTGGATTTCGACCGAGATAATTAATCGGTGCGGGGGGAGGAGGGGCAATTACGACGAATCGGAGCAACGTGGAGATCGATTCTCTCCCGATCGACCGACGTGATCCTTGACGAGATCCCGAACATAACGATCGCGCGTGTACGTGTCATCTCGCATAGAAACTACAAATTGCACGTTGTCACCGGGGGTGGGTAACACATCGCGTTTCTTTCTCAATATTCAGTCAGGGACGAATTCGTTCGTGCTTGGATCCTCGTGGTGTACTCAAGCCGTTGCCACGCACATCCCGCTTCCGTTGCCACTGCTGCAGTCCGAACGAAGGAAATTTTTGGCACGAGGACACGCTACGGGATCCGGAGACATCTCGACGAACCACGTGTGCCGCACCACACACGTTTGGTTGATTCACCTCGCGAGATCTCGAAACAGAGTCGGAGCACACGTTGTCGCGCCAGCGGATTCCGAGACGTTTGGAAAACGTTGAAAAAAA